TTAGAAAATAAAACGAGATGACATCAGTTCATCCAGAACAATCTGCTTGAGTGCTCTTGCAGATGCAAGAGGCTCCACAAAGTAACGTTCTGGTTCACCTCCTGTGAGTTCAGTTCCCTGATTGTCATCGTTCTTACTGACTGCCGTCAGTCACTGCTCCCTGCCTGTTGTTGCTCTCATCCAAGGACGCACTTATCACCTGCAGTTCTAGCCAGACTTTTGTGTAGTCCAGCACATATGCACCCACAGTCTCCATGCAAATTGTGCCGTCTGAAATAAACCGCCAAGATGCACTTCACCTTGCAACCAGCACATAGTTGATATTGATGACACTAGACAAGCAGAAAGTTGTCTGGATTTTCTTTATTTAATGTCTAACTTTTAAAATAGAAGAACAGTTCTAGGATGCCTAAATATAAGATATGCATTAGCATTCAGTTTGGAAATAACCTACTATATACACCACCTTTTGTGGAGTAGCTTTCCCTTCCTAGAGCTTTTGTCTCTTCACCTAACAGAGCTGACTCTGTGTCAGTTAGGAATATTTCCATGTTCCTCTCCTGTTCTCGGATTATCGATTTGGATCTGTCTGGTCCATCTTGTTCTGTTTTACAGAGTAAATGATAACCTGAGAAATTATTAAAAAGATCGGGACATTGCCTCCTAAAAGAAAAGAAAAATTGAACTACTTCTCATATAGGATAACCGAAAGCATAACTTCTTTGGAAGAATTAACACTGGGGACTTTATGAAAGGAATAAATGGGGAACATTATGCTAGAGGGCTCCACTGTCATATCTGTAAGAGAATATGAGAGGATGAAACAAGCATCTGCGTTCCATGTAAAAAGAATTCCTACTCATTAACGCACATAAATGCTGATGGATAATTAAGTAATTTGGGAGACAGACCATGCATATGGGAAGCATTTTTGGTATGTTATGACCCCTTCCACTGACCTATGTAATTACTGTGCTGCTGGCTAACACAGCAACATAAAACGCCTGTGAATATCTCCATTATGAAATCTACTTCAATTCTAAATGACCTTTCTCTGTATTTGTTTCACTGGGATCAGGAAAAGGTTGTTAAATTCTGTTATTCCCTCCAATGCTATTAAAGAGAAAAAAATAATCGGTAAACTTTATTCAGTAATCAATTTCTAAGCCACCTACAATGTAGTATAGAAAACAGAGCCAACTTATATTTGGCAAGAACAATTCACGTCAAACCAATCTCATTTCCTTCCCTGACAGGGAAAATGGCTGAATGGATAAAGAGAAGCAGTAGATGTGACGTTTTTATTGTAGTAACATTTGTATATGTGGCACTTATTTATAAATCATAGTATATTAGAATACATGGATGGTGTCACCTTGAGCTGGAGCAAAACTTATTGAAAAAAATGAGTTTAGGGAATAGCTGTTAATGATTTGGTCTCTGATAAAGACAGTGTATCAAGTGGAGGTTACCAAAATCTATCCTGGGACCTAGCCAGTATGTTCATTTAGCCTGCCAGCTTTTGAAAGAGAAATTACAAATGTGCGATTGACACCAAGCTGGGAGGGAATGACCGCAATTTGGAGGTTAGTCCCAATATCATTTTGAGAAACTGGAAGAGCAGTCCACAAATCAAAAAGCTGAGCTTCGGTAATAACAAATGAGAAGTCTTATACCTGGGAAAATTAAATCAAGTGCACCAGTACAAAATGAAAATAACTCTTTGGGCTGCACTGCATCAAAAATTGGGCTGACATAACTTCCTAAACTCTTCTGTGTACTGACATTGTGAATTATGCGTTTTTGATACAATAGCAAAGATAAAGCATACAATTTCTTGTGACATGTTGTCTTCCTCTGAAATGAATCTAACTTAGGCTTGCCAGTATGGAATTCTTGAAATTTAAAGTATCTAAGCTGACTCATTAAATTGACAGGGATTTAAAAAAAAAAAAAAAAAAGAGCAAATTTCTAATGGTGGAGAAAATAGGGAACCAAAACCTGAGACATGCGTCCCCTGTAGGAAGAACAGCGTGTGAACCTTAAGACAAGAAATATCTATGAACTATTTGGCCAACTAGGTTGGCTTCGGAATCTAATAACATGCCAGGGACGTGCCAGACCCTGATACAGGAACCTGTGTACTCAGAAAAAGTTCATGTTTAAGTCATACAAACTTCAGTTAGCAAACATTTACCAGAGATGTTGATAGCAACGTTTTGCATCAAATTTGCAGGATTTTTTGTGTGCAGAGAAGGCAATTCTAATTAGGTACCCCAATTCAGGAAAACATTTAATCACTCGCAGGTACTTAAACGTTTTCCTGAATAGATGCAAACTATGTTGTTTCCTGAGTTAGGGATTATAATTTCAAGTCATTGTTGTGATTCCAGGCCTAACTGGTAGCAAGTTGGTGTAAGAGGAAGGCCTAGAACTGGGATTTAGATGCTTAAAGAGCTTTGACAATCTGAACCTAAAAGAAGAAAGCATTTTCTTTACTTTAGAAATGCAAAAGTATAAATAGGAGCAGCACGAAAAACTCATAGAGTGGTCTCATGCTCAAATATGATCCTCTCTGGAAGAAGTTAGACTTTGGCTGAAGTAAAACGGTGGCCACACCAAGCCAGTTCAGTGGAATTCTCAGGAGACAAGTCTGCAACCTTAAATGCTTTCAAATCCCCACCCATTGCTTTCTGCTGCTACCTCACAGCATTGATTCTTGCCAAACCTAGATCCTGCTTACATGCTTACAGACTTTCTGTGGTACTTGGAAATGGAGAAAACTGCTCACTGGAATACTAACTTAAATACATACTGACTTAAATAACATTACAAGTCATACACTTGCCAATTGACTGAGAAACCCGTGGGATATAGCAGCTGTCCCTCCATCTCTCTGCTTTGGCCAACTCATCATCTTTCCTTCGCCATGTGCTTCCTAGCACCTAACCCAAACTATGCCCATGGGGTTTGGACTTCTGCACAACAGGAGAAGATGATTCTTTATGAGCAGAAGGGATTTCTGCCATCTGTAGCACAAGTGTAAGCGAGTAAAGTGAGCGGGACAAGCTCTGATGCTGCTGGCTGCATAGGGCAGAGATAGCCCCGCTGGTGTTAAGCTCTGTCATCACAGTGACACAGAGCCCTGCACTGCTTAATTTACCTATTTTCTGCCACTTTGGGCATCTCTGTGCCTCACGGTGGAAGATGCGGAATCACGGTATGCCATATACTGCGGACCTGTGGAATATGACCACAGGCGTGCAAGTCATGGTCATCATTAAGCGGCTCTGCTCTTAAACTGTTTAAGCCAAGAGACATATGGACAGGGGGATGGAAGTGCTTTATGGCTACCATGGAATCAAGACCCGTTAAAGGGTCTTGCACCTTGTAGCTGGCCTGGTCCTTTGCTAAATGTGCCGCAGGGCTAAAAAAGGGATGTAGCTTCCAAATGGTCAGTCTAGCACCATTCCTGAGCTTTAAGCTCACTTTAAATTAGCATGGAATTTTAAAATAAATCTTACAGATGAAGAGTGTCTTACAAAGAATATATAATTTACAGTTTTAAGCTCACACTATTTGTTTTGATGTAACCCGTAAAAGTTCCTGCTCTGCAAGGCCCAGTTGATGTTTCTTATTGCCTTTAACTAGTTCATCTCTACCTGCTTAAAGGGGATTTTTTTTATCCTTCATACTTTGGAAAAGCAATTCTGCAGGACAAGACCTTAACTTAAGTCTTTGGTGCTCATGCCAGGGAGAACTTGATAGACTAGAGAAATAGCGTGATCGATCTCGGCACTAACAGTTGTATCGTTCATCCAGATACGCCTGTAAATGACAATCGTCTTGGATGCTGTGTGCCCTCACAGCATTTTTAAAATCCTATAGATGCTTAAATAAGTGCTTTTATCTTCTGCAACCACCACAGGTATTAACATACACAATGCTTACAGAAAGACACCGGATAAAATGATTATTTTTAGAATTTCCTCCCTTCGTAAAACAGTACAATGGCTAGGATCCTACAAATAACTACCTCTGAATTCTTCTTATAAGCAAACAGAGGAAGTATAAGTTTAGGAAGAGAGTAGGAGTTCAGAATAGACAACATATTAAAATACCAGTCTTAGTACAGTTAGGAAAAAAAACCCTAATTATTAGCTTTACTTTGGGTCAGTAAAAAATGTAAACATTTCATTCCATAGGTCAGTTTGAAACTTGGGTAGAATTGCCTGGCACTTAGTAACCATCCATGAGTCCAAGTTTTGTCTGAGATAAAAAAGCAACAAAAGCAGTGAGCTATTAAACCAGCTTTCTGAGTTTTGGAAACATATTTGTTTATGCTATTACGAGCATGGGGTTTAGTTGGATGACGTGGTTTTTTTGTGAGAGACTCCCACTATGTTATTGTGTGGTTTTAGGAAAGTGTTTTAACTTTTCTCTTCCGGCGTATGACATACTCTGTCAGTGAAGAAGGCATAAAGTCACAGCAGAGTTTAAAACCGCTGGCCAGAAGTTGGCCTTGTGGTTTTCTCCCATTCGTATGACAAGTTGGACAGCTTTCATAAGGAGTGGAGTATCAGCCATCTGACTACAGCTGGCTTTATACATGTGACTTAACTAGCAGGAAATGTCTGAATTTATATTAGTTAAGGTGAAAAAATAAGTGTGTTGGAAACTGATTCCGCAGGACTGTCAGCAATTTCTTTTGAGGCTTTCTTGAGCTATTACTATGTTGAGTGCTATTGCTGTGTGTCTGAGGAGTGACTTCAGCTCTCTGTAGATCTGCACCCTTATTTTGGCCTACCTAATGCTGAGTGTGCCTGCTTCTGTTACGGATCCCTACCAAGAAAATGAAAAAGTACCTCCTAATTTCCCTCTGGCCATATTTTAGAAGATGAATTTGGAGGCATTTAATAAGCTACAACCAGAGATTTTTAAGCTAACTCATGTTCCAATACTGTGATTTTACACGCGGTTTTTGACGGACTCAAACTTACCTATAGTGCTGCAGTTCCGACTCCAGCTGCTGAATGTATATTTGCAGATGTGGCACTTCATTAGCTTTCACTTCTAGCTCCTTCACTTTGCCAAGGCTGCTGAGGACAGCGTGTCTCGCCTCTTCCACCTTCTTCCTCATTTCTGCTTGTTCCCTCTTCAGGTTACGGTTGCAGTCTTCCAGATTGACCAGAGCTTCCTGAGAGCTCTTCAGCTCTCTTTCCAACTCTTGATTGAACCTAATTGCTTCTTCAATTTGCCCATCCCTGGAGCTCCGGATGAGTTCCACTTCCTTCAGGACACTTTGAAGGCACTTGGTCTGGGAGTGGTTCTGCGTTAATTGTCTGTTACTCCCTATAAAACAGGTCCCCTCTTCCTTATGGTTAGCGTGGCTTTTCCGCAGTCCTACCTATAATGAACAGGAGCAGAAAGCAGGGAGAAATTGATGTGTTTTAAAGCAACTGACATTTTAATCAAGACTGAAAATGGCTGGACTGTGTTTTGTTGTTTGTGGTTTTTTTTTTTTTAAAGACATACAGTTGATCAGCAACTCGTAAGCTACTTACCTTTGTGAAATACAGAAACAAGGAAACAGTCTCTGGAAAGCAATTTTTAAATACGTATCTATAAATTTAATTTTAAAACTACTCATCAAAGTGGAAAATTAGGTTATCGCACAAGTTTCTGTATAGCTTTAACTTTTAACTTTAGTCTGCCCTCTAAAAGCAAGTAGTATTCCAAAAAAAAGTATTTCCATTTATGTTTTTTAAGTCGTGTTCAGTAGAAGTGAACAGAGAGCAGCTGGTGCTGTTCTGGACCTCTAATCTTTGTCCTCCTCCCGATTCTTTCTGGGGGCCTTTGACTGGTGACTTTGTGTTTGCTTCTTACTTCCTTTCATTTTTCAAATGAAAACGGTAAAAGTGCCTTTCAGCTGCGATGCTGGACATGGCGAAGCTGGACAGCCAGCTGATGCCAAACGGCCGTGCCACGCGTGGAGCCGAGTTCTGTGGGCGTAGTGTTAGTACTCACTCCAACCTGATCAGACTCGCCGGAGCAAGCGGCGAGCTCAGCCCTTCGGTGCTTTGCCTGTTCTGTGCTATTTCACGCCAGAGAAATTTAACCGCTGTTCAGTACGTACGTGTTTTGCTTGAGGCTATACAGCAGAACCAGAAACCAGCCCCAGAGCTAACGGGGCTCTGCACAGGGGCCAGAGACTATTTGTCAGCCCGTTTGCAGAACTGGCTCCATCCCTGAACTCCTGTGGCCACGCTCTGAAGAAAACACACTCCCAATGTTTCTGAGGTAAAGCTCTCGGGCATTTACGACTGAGTCACTAAATGTGTGTGTGCGGGTAAGAATCAAAAAGTTCTTACTTTGGGAAAAACCCACAATGGTGCATAACTGGTATATAAGCGAGTGACTGCACGTGCAGTAGAAAAAGGGGCATTATACACTTAGGTTTGTCAAACTGGTCTTTCCTACGATTTTGGCAGGGTGGGTTTCAGTGCATCCCTTAAATACACGTAGTGTCACAGCGGTGGAAATACGTTTCTCCTTAAAGACACTACGTAACCAAACTTTGCTAAAAAGTCGATGCCGAAGACGAAAAGAGCAGCCCCGGTCTGCGCCGCGCTCCTTTCAGCAATCGCTCCGGGGCCGGATCGCTTATGAACGCCGGCCTCCCGGGGGGCAGTTAACCGGGGCCGGCCCCCCGCGCCCGCACCCACCTGCAGCGCCAGGCAGCGGGCGTCGCTGCTCTGCAGGGCGGCCCGCATGTCCTCCACC